GCCAATTGAGTCATAAATCTTTTAATAATTTATCAATAGAGTTCATCTGGCCAATTTATCCCGAAAAATACTTACGTGAATTCCCGATAAGCGCTGGCTGGCCTACGACTATTGATTTCAAGATGAGGCCGTTAAATAGAGCATATGCTATTCCTCGACTTCTTTGAGGCCTAGGACCTTCATCTGCCCCTCGGACATATGACAAATCCTCACCCAACTCATCCTCCATAATGTCCAAATCATCCATATTCTCCACTTTCTATATTCGAGGACGCATTTCCAGCTCTCTTTCATTTGCCCTATTGTTTAATTGTACTTGGATCTTCTTTTTACCATTATGGTCTCTAAATTATATATATTGTTGTCCAAGTTAATCATTCTGTTAAAAAAGTTTGGGCAAAAGTACACTACAAGTGCCATAACTTGTGTACGGCGATCACTTTGATGCCATAACTTTTTTTCGGATCACTTTGGTGCCAAGTCGGAGGAAAATAGATCACTTTAGTGACTCCGGCCAAAATTCCGGCCAAAAAGCTGACCTGGCATTTATATTAAAAAAATGGTCTGACTTGTACACGTGGAAATTATGTGGCTTTTTTTTGAATTTTTTAATTTTTAGAAAAATAATAATAATTAAAAAAAAAAGTTGCGAGCGGCGGCGAGGAGCCCTCGCCGGCTGCGCCGCCAACCCAGACACCAGCCAGGGAAGGGCCGGCGGTGGTGGGCGCGATGGTCGGCGAGGGTCGCCGGCCCCGGCCGGGCCGACGACCCTCGCCTCACCCGGCGAGGGCCGGATTCGGCGAGGCGAGACCTCGCCTTCGCTGGGCGAGGTCGGCCTCGCCTTCGCTGGGCGAGGCGAGACCTCGCCGTCGCCTGGGTCGCGACAGCTGAGGTCTCGCTTCGCCAGATCCGGCCCTCGCTGGGCGAGGCGAGGGTCGCCGAGCCCCGACCGAGGGGTCGGCGACCCTCGTCGACCACTGCGCCCACCACCGCCGGCCCTTCCCGGCGGTGGTGGGTTGGCGGCAGCAGCGGCAAGGGCTCCCTCGCCGCTGCTGCAGCCTTTTTTTTTATAATTATTTTTTAATATAATATAAATATTTTTTAAAAGTACACGTCAGCGGGCTAAACAGCATTGTTTTTGGTTTTTAATGCTAACTGGACCTCTCCGGCGAGCCGTGTCAGCACCACATCGGATTTCCGGCGAGCCACGTCAGCATTGGCACTAAAATGATCGTTTTTCAAAAAAGTTGGTACCAAAGTGATCCGAAAAAAAGTTATGGCACCAAAGTGATCACCGTACACAAGTTATGACACTTATAGTGTACTTTTGCCAAAAAGTTTGACATGGCGGTTATATTGCCATCAAGTGATGACGTGGTGCTAATGTGGCGTCTTACGTGACTTTTAAGAAAATCTAAAAGTAATATAAGATAAAATCAATATGATTTTGAAATACTTAAAAAAGATAATGAAAAAAACTTGAAACCTAATAAATATATAGAGAGAGATCACTAACTCAAGCATTAGCGCCACTTATTGAGGTCCGAGCTGCAGTGTGGCGGCGGCAAGGTCCCATGACCCTGCTTTCAGGTGACCTAGGTGGTGCCACCTCCACTTCTCTCTCATGCTCTCCCCCTCTGTCTCTATGTGCGCATGTGCTTCGATCAAACCGGGAGGCTTTCGGTAGCCCTTGCCGGTGCCAGGACAAAGCCATTGCCGCCACCGCTTCTCCTCATTCTTCTCTATTTCTCTCTTTCTCTCTTTCTCTCTCTTAGGGTTTGAGGTGTTTTTTTTTAACTTGTAATATTTCCATCCAGTCGGCGATGGCATGACGATCTACGTCGGCACTTCCATTTGCATTTTAACAAAGGGAGCAACTTGCATAAAAAGAAGAAGCATACACCGGAGAAACTACATTGGCCCAAAGAAAGAAACAAGGATGAAATTGAACAAATTGAAAGTACATATGGACTAGTAGTGCCATCATTGCAGGGATATTTAATCAGGACACATTCGCTTCCGTTATTCCGCTTCGCATCCCTAGCAACCAATCTTCTGCATTGACCATGGAATGTCTTTCATAACCCTCAATCATCCTAGGCCCTTAAAACTTTAGAAATTGCTAACATCAAACTGAGTGTACACATTGTGAACAATGAGTGTGATTCGAGGTGAAAAAATGAAACTATTTTTCGTATAGTTATCCTATCACTTCTTATGTCACATTTCTTTAGTATAGTTGTCCTATCCCTTCTAAAGAATACGCAAAATTTACATTGACACACGCGCTTTTTTATTTAGAAGAAATCACAACAGCATTTCGATTTTTTCCTAAGTTTTCTAGAGTAGTTTGCACTATAAATTAACGTGGTAAAAATTCTTAAAAGATGCTTGAATAAGCGAGACAAGAGGGGAGTTTGTTTTGCGGTGTTATTTTGTTCAACTTTTGTACATTGCTCTTTATATCCGACATCATCCTTTCACATGGGTTCCGCGAGATGTCTATCAGTAGAAAAGGGGAAAGAATCTACATGGTCTACTTTTCATGACAAAGTGGTTTTGTTTCCTGTCTTAGATTGATTCTTTTAAGCTTGTAGGCACTTGTAACCGAAATCATATGTCAAGCACCTAGGCTCCATTTATTTTGCAAAAAATAAATAATTTAAAAATTATCTTCATAAAATAAATTATTTATATTGCTTGAAATAGTTAGTTAATAATTTATTTTTAATTATTGACAGTAATTATTGTCTAAATATTTTCGTAAATGATGAAAATATTTTTCGTATGTTTATTTTTGTGAGCGATATAATCAATTATTTTTAGGAAAATATTTTTCAGATCATTTATTTTTCGCAAACACACCCCTAATATTAATTTCGGTGGGGCTTTATAAGTGGATACTTAGTAGGGGCTTTTGTTTTTATCATATTGGCCGTATATGATCGTCAAGACAAAGATTGAGATTGGGACGTGATATGATAAAATAAAAAAGGGAAAAAACCATCAAAAACCCCAAACTATGCCACTTGTGACACATTTACCCTGAACTTTTTTTTGTGACACCAAAAATCCCAAACTATACTATTTGTGACACATTTACCCAAATGTACTTTAGTCCATTGGCATTTTCGTTTTTTTTTGCTTTTTCTTTTTTTTTTCCTTTCTGGCGAGGGCGGCCCTCGCCGGCGTCGAGCGAGGGCGGCCCTCGCCCGAGTCGGGCGAGGGTCGCCTCGCCTAGGCGAGCGAGGGCCGCCCTTGCTCGAGTCGGGCGAGGGTCGCCTCGCCTAGGCTCGCGAGGGCCGCCCTTGCTCGAGTCGGGCGAGGGTCGCCTCGCCTAGGCGAGTGAGGGTGGCCCTCGCCTGACGCCGGCGAGGGTCGCCCTCGCTAGATTCGGCGAGGGCGGCCCTCGCCCGACTTAGGCGAGGGCGACCCTCGCCCGACGTCGGCGAGGGCGACCCTCGCCCGACACCGGCGAGGGTCGCCTCGCCTTGCCCGACATCGGCGAGGGTCGCCCTCGCCAGAAAGGAAAAAAAAAGGTAAAAAAAAAAAGAAAAAGCAAAAAAGACGAAAATGCCCACGGACTAAAGTACAATGGGGTAAATGTGTCACAAATAGCATAGTTTGGGGTTTTTGGTGTCACAAAAAAAAGTTCAGGGTAAATGTGTCACATGTGACATAGTTTGGGGTTTTTGGTGGTCTGTTCCCAATAAAAAATGTGGAGGGATTTGTCATATCCTTTATCTTGTTTGGTAGGTAATTTTATATAACCTAGACTTGGATAAAAATAGTAAAAAAATTAGATAAGTAGCTTCAAAAAAGAGGATAAGCCACAAAAAAACTCCAAATTATGCTCACCCTAAACTTTTTTCTTGTGACACAAAGAGCCCCAAACTTGAATTTATGTGACACATTTACCCTAAAACGTTTTCTTGTGATATAAAAAATTTCAAACTTGTACTTATATGACACATTTACCCTCCATCAATGTTCCGTTAGATGATTTTTCAGCCAAAATAATGTTGTTTTATTTCACTTAAGTATCCATGTATGCAGACTTTTAACGGTTCTCATTAACAGTGGATAACACACAGGTATAAATTTGGGATTTTTGAAAATATAGAAAAAAGTTTAGGGTAATTATGTTACATTAGGCATAGTTTAGGGTTTTTTATGGCCTTTGCCCTTAAAAAAACGAAACCCTTTCTCTCTATTGCGGTCATAGATCGACCATCGCTTGTCGACGACGACCTCCATGCCGAGGTTACCTGACCATCATGACCACCGTAGCGGTGGCACCTCTTTCGACCGCTGCGACACACAACAAGATCGTCTTGTGGGTTAGCTGTGATCCATGGATCGCACTGGCAATGGCAATTGTGGCTCTTGCCATCGTCATGGGTGCGACCATTGCTTAGTGGTTGTCGAAGCAAGACCTTCACGGGTGTAAGCGGTGGCTAGATTCACCGTGTTGCCGAGATCCACCTAAATATGGCCGCACCGCCTTTGATAGAGAGCAAAACTTTCAGGCGGCCACCGGACGGTGGTGGCTTGAGAGTTGTGACCGCTACGCGATGGCTGCCGAGATCATCAAGCTGGAGTCACACAGTGGCACTTCCAAGTAGTAAGGTAGACATGAACCATTGCTCATATTTGCTCTTTACTTTTCTTTATGTTTTTTTATTTTTGGATAATAACACAAATATTCCATAAATTTTAACCGAATGCGCAATGCAGTGTTTTAAATTTTAATCTGTTCAATGTCATCCCTAAGTTTTTGATATATGTTCAAAATTAAATTGAATATGCATAAAAAATTTATGAATTGTATTGAACAAATTGAAAGCTCAGGACGATATTATACATTGGGCTAAGGTTTAGGGATCAAATTGAATAGATTAAAAGTTTAAGGATCACATTGCACGTTAGATTAATGTTTATAGATCATTTATTTTTTTTTTAAAGAAATTCGCAAAATTAGAAAAGAAATTGGATTCGAAATTATATTAGGGCACCCCCGTAAATCAAAAGCAAAACCCAGCATTTCTGCCTTGTAGCGTAACCACCCCACTCTCTCTCCGACGGCCGTGCACCACCGCCGCCGGGGCAAGTTCCGCCGCCGCAGTGCCGCTAACTCCGGTAAATCTCTCTCTCTCTTGCCTGCTTTTCTCGCTCTACGCCGTCGGTCTCGGTTACTGATTTGGTTTCGCATTCGCGGCGGTGCGAGAAGCGAAGCGAGAGGCTTTCTTCACTGTTGCGCGGCGGCGGGAGGCGTTTTCCCTGCGCGGTCGACGATGGCGATGGTCCTCCTGCGGCGAGTTCTTCTCAACGGGAAGGCGATTGCGTTGCCTAGCGCCTCGCCGATGGCGCAGTCGGATTCGTTCGTTCCTGCATTTTCCAGATTCTTCTCCAAATCCGCTCCGTACGCGGGTAGGTTAAGTTTCGATTTTTACTGGGCTGCGTAGTTCTAGTGGTACACAGCGCTGCTGAGAGAAGCATTGGAGTGCAAAAGGGTTATTTTTTTCTTCGGGCCAATTAGCTGAATGAGGGAGAAATACGTGCTTTGAGTATGGTTTTTGAATTGTGGCGTGTTTGGAGCTAAGTAACTTGTGATGGGTCTGTTTGTGATAATGGGTAAATGAGCTTGATCAGTGACAAGAGAAATGTGTTTTGGACGATGGACAGTGTGGACTGGTTGTGCTGTGTAATTGTCGCCGAGCCGTCTATAGCGCATGCTAGCTAAGGAGGCTGTGAGTAGTACAACAAGTTGATTCTGATGCACTTAGTTTTTGGTCTTCGCGATGAGCGGTTCTATAGCTTTGGCGTGATGCCCTGCCATGTCTGTGGGTCGTCTGTTTGTGATAATGCATAAATGAGCTTTTTTCTTTTTTTGGGTCGAAGGATAAATGAGCTTAATCAGTGACAAGAGAAATGTGTTTCAGCCGATGGACAGCGTGGTTGTGCCGTGTAATTGTTGCCGAGCCGTCTATAGTGTATGTTAGCTAAAGAGGCTGCGAGTAATACGACGAGTTGATTCTGATGCACTTAGTTTTTTGTCTTCGCGATGAGCGGTTCTATTGCTTTGGCATGATGCCCTGCCATGTCTGTGGGTCTGTTTGTGATAATGGATAAATGAGCTTTTTGTTTTTTTGGTTGAAGGATAAATGAGCTTAATCAGTGACAAGAGAAACGTGTTTCGGGCGATGGACAGCGTGGTTGTGCTGTGTAATTGTTGCCGAGCCATCTATAGTGTATGTTAGCTAAAGAGGCTGCGAGTAATACGACTAGTTGATTCTGATGCACTTAGTTTTTTGTCTTCGCGATGAGCGGTTCTATGGCTTTGGTGCAATGTCCTGCCATGTCTGTGTAGCTGTAGGTTCGAAGGGGGTTTCGTATTGTTTTCACTTTATGCTGGAGTGTATGACAAGCAATGCTCTAGAAAACCTTCATTTAGTTGAAGCAAAAGTTTGTAATCGTGCCGATTTAACTGTGAGTTGCAGGCCTTACGACATATCTTTTTCTGCATTGTTTGTGCAGTGAAGGTTGGTATACCAGAGTTTTTGCAGGGTATTGGCGGAGGGGTCGAAGCCCATGTCGCCAAGCTCGAGTCTGAGATTGGTGACTTCAACAGGTTACTTGTTTCCCGCACACTTAAGCTCAAGAAACTCGGCATCCCTTGCAAACATGTAAATTGTCTTCCCTGTATCATTACTCATTCATCTTTCTAACACTGCTCTTTCTCTTGTACATGTAAAAGTGTGGACATGGCACTACTCAATTTTTGCCCTTCATATGAATTTGAGGCGTTTTGCTGGTAGAAGATGATCTTCCGGCATGTTTTATGCATTGATGATCTGGAAGCAAATCCTTATATTGATGAAGTATTGACTAGGTTCATAGTCTTGCTCTAAAGTCCCACCGTATATAGTTCCTTCATCTGCAAGACTGGCACTACTCAATTTTTGCCCTTCATATGACTTTGAGGCGTTTTGCCGGTAGAAGATGATCTTCTGGCATGTTTTATATTAATGATCTGGAAACAAGTCATTATATAGATGAAGTATTGACTAGGTTCATAGTCTTGCTCTAAAGTCCCACCTTATATAGTTTCTTCATCTGCAAGATTGGAACTCATTTGTTTTGTAGATTTTGCTTTGATGGCTAGTCTTTTTGAGCTAGGGATACCCAAGGATAAGTTTTTTCTGCAGTGACTATGGTCTATCGAATAGGCTAAATATGTTCATGTTATTTGAATAATGGCGAGGAGCAAAACATCTATTGTATTTGTGAGGCGTGCTTTGAACATGTATTGATAGATGAAATTGAATTTTTCAACACCATTGAAACTTCGTGCATCTAAAACTGATCTTGATACCTTCGTAGTTGATCGGAAATTGTCTGAGCTCATTGTCAAGTGAGCATGCAGTAGTAACCTTATTGGCATAAACTTTTTAACCAAGATTAATAAGGGGAATAGTTGCTCCATCCACAGAGGTCTATCATTGGGTTGATCTCAAATGGCATTAGTTTGACTCCTTATGAGGACATTTTACTTTCTTTGTGAAGAGGTCCTAAGTTCTTTTTTGGTTTTGCAGAGGAAGTTGATATTGAAGTATGCCCACAAATATAGGGTCGGACTATGGAGACCTAGAGCTGCACCCATTAAAGCTTAAGAGTGGTTCTGCCCAGAAATTGCTGTAGTTGGCAACTGCCGAAGAGCTCTCCCGTTAGAAATGATATGGGTCAACTTTTATTTCCATGGACAGCTTCTTTGTAGTTCAGTTCAGATCAAATTGTATTTTGTTTACTGCCTCCTAGTTCAGGAAACAATCAGTTTAATTTAGACTGTTCAAGCAACATTGATCTGCGAAGTATTACTGTGGTGTAGATTATGGAATCAGTGGAGGGAATTAATGTTTTGCAAGGGAAAAGAAATAGTCGCTCTTTTTCTGTGCCATACCCTGGTGCGATTAAGAGTCACTTATCCATTCATTCCCAAAAAATGGCTGCAAATTGCCTTATTTTGAACGAAGATAATTTATTCTTTGGTTTCCTTGTTCTTTGCTTTGATTGTCTTTTCTTTTCTCTCTTGATCTGTTTTGGTATTCTATATGTGTGAATAAATTTCTGCGGTTGATCATGGGTCAACGCGGAGATTAGTTTGGTCGTTCGTTCGATCGACAGCCACCAAGGAAGATATTTATGATGTGGCTCCTCAACCTTTTTGAGAACTTGCTGCTCTCTTCTTCCGATTTAGATTTATGTTTAGATTTGGGGAGGAAAATGAGAGAAAAATGTGCACTAATTCAAATTTTCCCTCCTCTCCCTTCTCACAAAAACTTAAAATTGTTCAAAATTTTCCACCCAAATTTTCTTCACCTCCATTTACCCTAATTTCCCAAACATAACATGAAGGATCAATTCTTTCAACTGTCTTTTCAGCTCAGCAGAAAGATGCCTAGCAGAGTTTACAGAAGTAGCACTGTAAAATGGCAGAAAGCCGAGGATTAGACTATATTACCATTCCGTAGAATCAGAACAAATTATGTCATTTCTGATACTTTTTGTCTTTTTCTAGCCGAACATTCATTTACTGGCTTATAATGCATCATTGCAGAGGGAGGTAAGGGAATGCATCTTGTTAGGTTGCATTGAAAGCTCACACATATGCAATTTCACTTGATGGTCAGATTCTATTTCAAATAGTGATGACAACGTATGACTTCTGCTCATTGACTGAGATATCTTTGGCCATCAGGTTAACAGGAGAATGGAGGCTTAGCGAGGTTCAAACTTATGTGTGCAACATAGGAATGGCCGGAGAAACGGACATTGTCCACATTGGAATACACTGTCTGAGATAGTCATCGAGTGTTTTATGAAGACATGACCACTCCTAAGATGTTTCCTAAAAGCGAGTTAGTCAATCCCGGAAAGATGGGACATCACCAAAAACAAGGCCTTAAAATGATCACAATCATTGGTTCCAGATGTCTCGTAAACAAATTGGAATCACACCTTGTCAAATTCTAGGTCGTTGAAGCACAGGAATGAGAACGGTCAATATCTTAACTATAAATCCGGATACTCCCCTCCGGAGGAAGTAAGGAAGTTAAATTCTTACCACTTGCCTAGCAACTTGTGGCAATTTATGAGTACCCACTTACGTGATGGAGAAAGAAAAATGGCAACAACCATTCAAGACTTACATAAGGCCAGCCAAATTAAGATTTGCTGTTTATTCTCTCCGGCTTCGTAAGTGATTGGACTCTATTAGGATTTTAATAAGTTTCCTTTTCCTATCTGAAATTGGATTCCACGGTTCCTAGTTTTATTAGGATATATTATGTCTCCTATTGCGAATTGATGTAGTTCTTTAGGGAGTATGTGTATATGGTTATAATTCTTTCTTTTGAATAGAGTTGATGATAGTTTAAATTTGACAATTCTTTGCTTTGGGATCGTGTGATGCAATTCTTCTTCTATTAAGTGTGATGTTTAAGAAACCCTAAGTGCGACACTCAGGATGCTTTTGGTGTGAAGCCTAAAGATTTATTCTTTGTTGTGGGACTCGTCGTTCTACATTGCTAAGACACTTCAAAAGCATATATTTCTATGCATACTTGTTAGAGGCCAAAATTAAGAAGCTAACATGTTGGGGAAGTAATCGACCACCAAGCACTACTTCTGCCAAATGAACAAAGACTAACGAAGCAACAATTTCAAACCTGGTACCCATACGAATCAGCTGTGTTTACTTGAGCACTCTCTCGAAGTAGAAGCTCGGCGACCTGGAAGGTGTTCTCTGAGAGGAAGACAATGTAGGGTTTAAAGCATTTCGATTCGGTTCATTTTGGGTTCGGCTACCCGAACTGAACTGAAAATGTACTGCTTTTTTTTCTTACCTATTACCCGAACCAGAAGGAACCTAACCTAACCGAAAAGACCCGAAACTTTCGGTTCGGTTCGGGTATTTTTGACACCCCAGTGTTACGATCATAATTGCAAAGGTGGGGGTTTGGATCCCATCTGTAAGGACCCGGAGTCTACGTGTAATATTGTCCGCTTTGGGCCCACTGATCCTCATGGCTTTAAAACGCGTTACCCATAGTAGAGAACCCAAGCCTTATAAACTAGCCCAGGACTCCCCCCCTAAGCGATGTGGGACAAGAGACATGCCCCCCTTGCCATTCTAAAAGCCTGCCAGGAGCCTCTCCTTGTCCAGGCCCACTGGCCCCGCGCGACCACTCCCCGCCCTCGTCGGACCGGGTCATTACACCATCAATGGTGTGAGACTTCGGTATGGGGTTTCTGTGGTCGGCTCTTGGCTTTAAGGTTTGTTATACCAACACCCGCCACATTCTCTCGAGTCCCCATCACTTATTAAATATCGAAGTACCAAGAATATGCACCGCTTGAAACTCCTCATTGTGATCGACCTTTTTCAAAACAATCTTTTTGGTCATCATCTAGCTGCAAGGGTTCGCTGAATTTCTCCTGAAAATTCGCTGGTAAGGGAAAATGGACATTGATCTCTGGAATTGAAGTTGAAGATCGTGATGTCCTTGTTCTACAACACAACGACAGACGAAGACAGGTTAAAAGTTCCACATGATGTCGAGTCCCAACAAGAAGAAGGTTTGATTTCTTACAAAGCGATGCACTTCCTAGAAGGTTTGTCTTGCAACCAGTTCAGTGGCAAGATCCCGCCTGAGATTGGAACTTTACGGGACATGCTTGTACGGAACCAGTCAAGCCTAACAAAGACAGCATCACTCAGACGATTGGTCCCAATCCTGAAAAGCTTACTCGCTTAAACTTCCTGGCAGTCCTCAATATATTCATCAGTCATCTGCTCTTTTGTCAATTACCAACTGTTACAGGTTTGTCATCACATTCTACTATTTTGTACATGACAACTTCTGAATACTCTCACTAATTTAAGAGATAATTTGAGACTGGAACTCTGCCTTCCTATGCGATGGAGTATCTGGGGTTTTTCTGTTTATCGACCTATTGTTGTTACTCAATATAGGTCTCTGCGAGAACCTTCCAGTTCAATGGACTCATCTCTGTACCTTTTCTCATTTCCCAGAGAACTAAGACAACCAACCTCATCACCATTGATGGATACAATGATCAGGTCTCTAATGATGAGAATATTATATTTAGGAGACATCAGACACACCTCCTCTTACCAGTCTTTGTTTTCATCAAGAACATTTCCATTCCCAATAACCATTTCCATCTCCATATATCCCTCCCTGATTCCATTCACAAACCATTTCAGACTTGAAAGTCCTCCAGCCTGACAATACGGTATCAAGGACCGACTTCAGGAATGGATCTTATAATCCCAGGTTCCTGTCTTCTTTTTCTGTCGATTGTTACCATCATTGATCAACATTGGCCCCGTATGAACAGTAATTTCCAATAAATTCTTGAACCAAATAAAAAAGAACGATTTTTTGATTAGGAATAGAACGATAATTTATGAAGTGTTCTTACAAACAATCATCTTGTTAAGTGAAAGTCCACTCGATCACAAGATCCTACCATTTAAAAAAGACGGATATTTCCTTAGTAAGCTTTTACGATTTTTCTCCTGTCCACTCATAGGGCCTATTCGGAGAAAATAGAGCCTATCTAGCTGTTTCTTCTAGGGGTGAGCAACTTGGACCGCCCAAACCGGGACCGGACCGGACCGGACCGGACCGACGAGTTTGGTCCGGTTCTCGGGATTATCGGTCCGGTTCCCGGTTCCTAAAAGCGGAACCGGTTTCCGGGCGGTCCGGTTCCCGGTTCCAAGGGGGAACCGGACCAGACCGGACCGACCGGACCGGACCGACTAGTTAATATATATTTTTGTTATTTTTTTCTTTAAAAAAATTAATAAAATGTGAACTAAACTCTAAGTGAACTTCGTTATCATAAATTCATTGATAAAAAATAGTAAAATGTGAATTAAACCCTAAGTAAACTTCATTGACATAAATTTATTGACAAAAATTAGTAAAATGTGAACCAAACCTTAAGTGTTTGACAAAAAAAAACCCTAAACTCTAAGTAACCGGTTCCATTGAACCGGACCGGACCGACGGTCCGGTCCGGTTCCCTGTCCTAGAACCAACCAGTCCGATCCGCGGTTCCCAAAATTGGGAACCGGTTCTCTCGGTCCGGTTCCTGGTTCCACCTTGGGACCGGACCGGACCGGGAACCACTCACCCCTAGTTTCTTTATTCCCATTAGTCAATGATGAATTAGCACATGGAAAATTTAAAGTATTCAAAGAATGAAAAATCCTCAAATACATACATAATATTGTGCGCGCGAAATCAAGATTGTACTATTTTATCATTGTGGTTTCTATTTTTAAATTAAAAATCATAACTATTTTATATTGATAATCATAATGACGTAAACTATATAGTTTAACACAAAATACTCAAATCTCACCCATTGGTACAATTTTTTTTAAAAAAATTATTATTAAATACCTATGTTGGTATAAAATTGCACCTATTTTTCAAATCCATGCATAACAAATCTTTAATTAGGGAAACGGGATATAGTCCAGATAGGTTGGTCTGCGAATCAAGAGCGTGCAATACGAAAACTGGAATCATCTCGGGATGCTACCCGTGCAATTACATGTGCCTGGCTTTATTCGTATTCTACAAGGCTACATTATACGGAGAAACCTACTACTTAAATTATTTATTTAACCATGTCGAATTACCAAACTCATACGTATATTGGCTTCGTAAAGTTTTAGAACGGGGCATCATTCCATATTCAATTATTTCGGATTCTGTTTACGTGTATGATGGGTTATATCCTAAATATAATCAGAACAATCCTACAAATAATAGAAAAATTGACACATGAGTTTACCCAGGTTCATTCCAGAATAGGGCTACGTCCTGCAAAGGGATTCCACTATGATATTTAGATTTTACAACCACTCATCACAATGATCTCTCATACGAGTACAATATATAGGACTTAAAATGGGTTTAAAACCCAAGCTTATCCGAATCGCTTTGATCTCACAACAAATGGGTCAGCAAACCCGATGTTGTTTCGAGGGCGCTGCCCCTGAGCCTCCGTCCGCTCACCGGGGAGCGGAACCCCCGCCCACTGTCTAGGCAGTGGGACCCCCGACATTCCGTGCGTAGGGGTCACATGTCGTCGGTTTATACTTCGGTTTCCCTAAGCTCACGTGTGCATGCTTAGTATGAGAAACAAGGGTCCCCGAAGTATTCACCAACTCCAACAGTGTATTCTTCTAATTTTGAATTCGTATGTAATTTCACTTTAGAATATGCTATACAGTCGGGTCATTAAAAATAAAGCACCATACAATAGAGTAATGTAAATAAATTTGATTAACAAAATACTGGTTGAAAAGTGAAAAAAAAAAATATGATATCAATAATTAGTTTTCGTCGCTTTTTCTTTTTTTTGGAGGACTTGACTATAATACGGTATGAAGTATTTCTTAAGTTTTTGCAACATGTAGAATGGGAATTGTAACGTATCCCTGCCTTTACGGATAATGAAATCAACCTCTTTTCGTAAAAGGAAGGATGATCAGTACCATAGATATGTTTGGAAACAAAAACGATGATTATTTCACGAAACATGGTCAAACAATATTTGGATGGAAAAAAAGAAGTCGTAAACAATCAGACGAGTTGCAAAATTTCCGTAAGAACATTCTTCGAACTTTTTCAAGCGAAATTTGTGAAGATCAAAGGTAAATGTCGTCCACAAACACGAACTTCTCATCAATCCTAACATTCCAACCATCAAAGACTCTGCTCACCGACGATGCCCTCCAAACTCTCCCGAGCTCGAAAGAAGCGAATGCGTCCAGGCACCCGTACTCGATTTGATGATCCGTGAGCATCTTGTTGTCCCACCCGCTCAATGTAATCTCCTTCGGCTTTTCGAGCCCTTTACGGAGGATTCCCTTGGACAGGATTTTGAGACCCATGCATCTCCACAGGGGTTATTCAACCTCTCCGCTGCCAGTCCACGGATATCGATGGTGCACGACACGTGAATTCCATAGTCTTTGGTGAGCTTCCTCGCATTTTCATCCACGCCGACTCCAACAAAAGTGTACTTCACGTTGGCGAGGAACACGAACAGCGACTTGGGAATGTACCCTGCATGAAGGGGCTGGAAGATGAGGCACTTATGGCCGACGCAGAGCTGGAGGGTCGCAACTCGGTGAGCATTGGGCTTGGAACTCGGGCACCACTCGGTATGGAGGCCGACAATCAGCCTACTGAGCCGGCGACGGTGAACGTGCTCGATCTTGCGAATCCAACGGCGGCTAACGACGGCGGGCTCGTCGGTGACCCAACATTTTATCGTTGTAGAAGAGAACCGTGTGAATAGAAAACATATTGCCCTAAAGATTGAGTAAAAGCAGGAGGAGCATATATATATATATGGAGGAGCATATATATATTGAGTAAAAGCAGGAGGAGCATATATATATATATATAGAGGCTTCGGTGATAGCCTAAGTTGAGTTAAATTAGGAAATATTCGCATTATTATATTTGTAGAGCAACGGCAGAGATATCTCAATATATTTCAATCAACAACCGAAAAACAATTTGAATTTTCGTTCCGTTGAGGGTGGTTGTTAATTGGGGCCCAAGTTGCCTAGTGACAGGTGGTAATTATCAATTTTTTTTTGATGATATAATCGCAATTCCAGTAAATTATGTACTGTTAGTAACAACGGTAAGAGTAGACTACTAAAATTTGCAAAACCGTTTTCGGAAAGGGGAAAGTGGGATTGTTCTTAAATCACATGGAGTACTTGGAGTCCTATTGAGGTTGAGGAACAAACCGTTGATTCTCTGTTCTGGAAAAAATAGCTATTCCACGGGAATTCTTGAACAACTATTTCATCAGGAGTAGACTGGATCATTTGATAACCATCTCGTGCTTGGGGTGACATGAAGATCCTCCATCTCGGAAGAGGGAGGGAACCGATTCCTGTTTGCTTATGCCGATCGAACGAGCCACCGACGGTGCTGGGTAAAAATATGACGATCCAAATTGGGATTGGAGATGGAAAAATAACTAGAATGGATTTCTGGGTCCAACCACATGGTCTTGCTCTTGCTCAGATCACGCAGCCGAATGCACCCGAGGGGTGGAGCCAAAAATTGCCTTGGAGGTTGGATGTAGGAGTGAGCGGTTCCAGGTTTCATTTGGAACTTAGAACCTACCCTCGGATATAAGTTCCTCATTTTTTGGAACCTGCAACCTATTCGTCGAAACCTGAAACCTAGTACCCACCATGTCACAGGTTCCAAGTAGGTTCCAGGGTCTAACAAGTTCTTTTTTTTTTAATTAAACAAAACAAAAATGAACGTAACAATACCGAACAAACATGTCATTCACTAAAGAGAATACAAAAGATTAGTTTTCATGTCATTACGGTTCAAATAAATATAATTAAAATGAGAAATCATTGCGTTAATCAATACTAGGGATGAGCGGTTCTATGTTCCGTAAAAGTTCAACCCATGACAATAGGTTCCTCATTTTTTGCAACTTGGAACCTACTCTATCACAGGTTCGAGGGATGATTTCAAAATCTACCCAGGTTTCACCTGTATTATTAATTGAATAATTGCAATGAATCACTTTTAACGGCCACCACTTTCTGCTATGATCCATTAACCACAACTTATATTTAGACACACGAAGAATATGAAACATGTTTCATATAACAAGTCATAAAATGAAAGCTCATACTAGTGGTTCCAAATTATACACTCATTATCTAATGCCATGAAACACCGCAAGATCACGCGAAAACATAGACTAAGAAAAAACACAAAAAACTTATTTAGGTTTTAGGTTTTAGGTTCCAGGTTCGAGGTTCCACCTATCCAGAACCCGGAACTTACCCGTGGAAACAGGTTCTCCAATTTTTGGAACCTAGAACCTACCCTGCATATCTTGAAACTTGGAACCTACATGTTCCTATTGATCAGAATCTCAGGTTCCAGGTTCTACCCTAGAACCATGCTCACTCATGGTTGGATGTCCTTTTCGCAATCAGCAGGAAACAACAGAGGGTCCTCAGTTGTTGAATGGATTCCTTGCGGTGCGTCTGATTTGAAGAACTGGGGGATGAGATTCAATGAAGAAGCCATTCAGACTATGGATCGAAATCTTACATGATCATATCAAGTCCCTACAATATTTGAGGATGCTTGCATTTGATTGATTATCACATCAGGTCAGGTGCATTAAATCAGGTACAGGTTGTGCTCGTACTGACCTGAAGCATGCGAATTTTATTGATTAATTAGAGTTTGGTGGCTTTGGGAGGGAGCTTGTCCATAATGGAATCAACGATAGTGATATTCGGGAAGAATTATTCCTTGAAATTTGTTTTATCCACCCTTTTTGTCCGCACCAGCAGAGGAGGGGCCAAAAAGTTTAAACCTCTTTTGCATACTCACATTCAAGTAGCCTGGTAGTCCTCCTGCGTATAATTGTAGATGAACTCGTTCAACAAAGTAACGAAAAAAGAGATTACCTAGAGAACTCAATCAGGAAAAGAGAAGAATAATTGGAAACCAAGAAAGATGATTAAAGAACATATTGTCGTCTGTGTCACAGTGTGGAAAACACAAACACTGATGGATAACTCAACATGCTCTGAAACAAAATTCCTGAAGAGCTACAGAATGCAATAACAGAACCCAACACAGAACAGAAATGAACCACATGCCAAAAGATTGCCGATGCTAATTGACTTTACTAGTCACCATCCCTATGAGATCAGTTAGAGATTGATTATATGCAATCTTGCCAAAGCAAAGTCTCTCGACCCCAAGAAAAACTTCACGTTAAAAGGAACCTATACTTCATCCAGACAACCGTTAACTAATTATTATCTATTGTCTAGATAGAGACAACGAATTTGAAATATAACTTTCTTTTTCGCAGTTCTTCAGGATGTAATGTCACACATTTTTTATCTCCACAGAGCATTTAACTTCAACGTATCCCAATCAGAGCAACAATTCATGCCTTCGCAAATTATAGGGTGAGAGCTTCAAGCAGGTGGACAGATAGGTTGTTTTCGACAATATAGGTCACAAACAATGGGTTCACCAGATTCCATGGTCAAATTAAAAAAGAACATTATTAAAAATCATCTCCAATCAATCTTAAAAGTTAAAACTGGGGACGAACTCACAGACCTGGACTTTCCCCATGGCAGGTGCAATCAAACAATCCACATATTTCCGCGTCACATCAAAATCACTCCAAGTAGCCTGGTAACCTGAGCTGTCTTGTTGGGTTTACTTCTCTCAGGAAATTTTGCTGCGGCAAGTGAAAAGAAACTGCTGATAATATACATATCTCATCAAAACAAAGGAGAAAACGACAGTATTCCTCTCATTTATTTCCATGTTAACTTTCTTCAAGTTACTGGAGAGGACTTATGAGTCATGAGCAGTTTGATTCATATACATTTGTGATATCTAAGGCTTATGGAACTCTTTATGAGAAGCATATTCTAAGCTAGCCACAAAGTATTTGTAAAGGGGTCTCTTGAATGACCTTTTCTCTATTTCAAATTGAGTGTAATAAGCAAGTATGACAACCCCATTAATAATTTCAATGACAATAATACAAAATGCATTGACATAAGATAGACATACCTCCAAGTCTCTGTTTACTGGCAAAATATCCAAGCGCAAATTCGATATCCTTGGCAAAATAGCTTGTGAAATCCCACCAAACACAGGCAATCTGAAACAAAAATGGCTGACTCTTTGAAGTATTGTGATTGGTCAGCCTGATACATTATACATGTGCCCATCTATATCTGGTACAAAGCCCTTATCTACCATCTCCTCTCTAATTATATCATAGGTAGTTCGATTTGGTACCACGCCTCTCTCCAACATTTCATTAAGCAGGCTATTTGCATCTTCCAGTTTACCCTGCTTACAGAAACCCTTAATCAACACGTTAAATGTAGCAATATTCGCTCGCAAACCTTCTTTCTGCATCAGTTCCCGAACCTTCACTGCTGCTCTGAGATTCCCTTCTGTGCAATATCCATCCATTAGAGTATCATAAGTCACATGATTGGGACTCAAACCGATTTTAACCATACGATCCAAGAGCCTATGCGCCTTTCTAGACTCTCTCTTCTTGCACAACGAACCAATTAATATGTTAAATGTAACCACATTGGGCTTTAAGCTGTTATCCTTCATCTCCCCAAACAGTTTCTCAGCCTCGTCCATTTTCCCTTCTCTGCATAGGCCAGTAATCAAACTATTGTATGTTGAACCATCAGGGAGAACTCCCTTGCTTGCCATTGAAGCATGGATCAAGAATGCTTCTTCAATTTTTCCACTGTTACAGCAAGCATCAATTAGAATGTTGAATGTGATGACATTGGGAACCAACCCTTCTTTCTCGACGACATCAAGCATCTCTCTTGCTTCCTTAAACATATCATTCTTCCCAAACCCATGTATGAGCACATTATAGGTGATAATGTTCGGTTTCAAACCAGAACTCCACATTTGATCTTGCAAGCTAACAGCCTTACTAATCTCCCCACTATTACAATGCCCATTGATCAAAGAATTATACGTGACAAGATTAGGTTTCAAACCTTGCCTCTGCATTTCCTCGAATACCTTGACCGCAGCCGCCACATTGTCGTCCTTGCAATATCCATCAATGAGGATATTGTATGTAATCTCATTCGGGCAGATCTTGCTCTCGACCATCTCCTTTAGAATCGCATCTGCCTTGTACATTCTGCTCAATCCCCCGCTTTTACAGTGTCCATCAATGATGGCATTGTAAGTGACCACGTTCGGGGATACCCCGCAAGCTTTCATGTCTTCGACCACGTCCCGAGCCTTGTTCAATTTCCGAGCTTTACACAAGCCCGAAATCATCGTATTAAAACTCACTGCATTGAGCTTAATTCTCCTCCTGATCATCTCTTTATAAACACACTCCAAATCCCCAACTGCCCCCTCTTTCGCCAAATTACTCATCAGTGGGTTACAAGAAGTAATCGACAGCTTATACCCATAATCACCAGCTCGCTTAAATGCCTCAAAACCCAACTGGGTCTTCCCGTTCTTCGCATATGCCCACACCAACATGTCAACGATGATCGAGCCGTTGCAAAACCCGCCATCGCAGCTTGATATGGAGTGAAATACCGAAGAAACCGTGTACCCATCACTCACCCTCACGAACTCGTCCAAGAAAGATCTCATCTTTGAGTACAATTTGCCATTCGCCAGCGAGTGCGAGAGCCTGAAAGCGAGCTCAAGCGCGTGGGAGAGCCTGAGCTCGTCCCGGGACCATCTGAAGTACCTGAGAGCGAGCTCCGGGTCGGACCCGGAATCGAGCATTTGCCGGAGGACCGCGGCGGGGTTTGAGCCGGAGCCCCTGAGGCGCGCCTTGAGCTCCGAATAGTGCTGATTGGACACCAGCTCCGTCAGGGTCGGCAGGTCGAGGGAGTGCGACGAGCAGAGCGAACGAAGGGCGTGCCCGTTTCCCGGGAAAACTGGGTGGGAAAGCTGCGCCGTCGAGGGGAGGGAGAGGAATGAGCCGACGCCGGCGCCGACGACTTTTCCCGGAGCGAAGCGCATGAGTCCGGCGAGCGAGCTGAGAGCGACGGAGTTCATGGAACTGGAGAGCGAGAGAGTTTCATCGCAGTCGCTTGGCCCTTCAGGCGTGCTTCTGTATAGACTAAAGAAGTCGGTCTTGTGTTTTCAAAAGGGGAGAAAAACCAATGAAAACATTGGACTACACCCACCACAGCAAATTTTACCTAGGTTTTTTTTTGCAACGAAACTCAAAACTCCCCATACCCTTTGGAATAAGTAGTCATTTTGCGATAAAATTGTAAGTACTAAATACCGTGTGAGTTATAGAGTGTGATTGGGGGACAAAAACAATGAGAAGTTTGAGTGATTCGGGTGTATTTGCAATTCATATTGTACAGCTTAATCTATGGTGGAATCTTGCTGTTCTTTCCAAATTGATCCCACTGACCAAATCACGTGATTTCGGTATACAATTTATTTTATTGTTTTGTTTATTTTATTGTGTTCGATTGCTTTCGTAACAAAATATCCTATGATGCCCTCACTTAGAATCAAATCGCGAACCTCATATAAGTTAAGCTTCTTGACCGAGAGAAGTTACTTCTAAGCAACAATAGTATTTCAATTATTGGGTAATAAGAATAATAGAATCAATGCACATACCTCATTATTAAAGTGAATCTCAATCGAACTCAATTGACGACTACATTGAATTCATTGATAGCTCAACGACTTCTGTCCCTTTGCCCATTTTAAGTGAAATAGACATCATATTAAGTAGATCTTATTCTTCGCAGATAGCTTCTCTTACAAATTCAATAGACATTGATCAGTCCGCAGTGTTCTCTTTTATGATGTTAAACGCAAGACTACTAGACAATTCCAGTTGAATAACATGCCATGCTTGTTTGTCCAGCAAAAACAGCTTGCTTGATTAACTCTGACTTCTTTCAGACAAGGATATGTGTAGATTTTTCTAGTATAGATAATCCCCAATCTGCATTTTGCAGAAGCTAACATCCTTCCCATCCAATTTGTCGATTTTCATTTTCTTTCTTCTGTCGACATCTAATGCCAACAAGGCTGCGGATTGGGTGGCGAAGGCCCATCGTACAAATTCCTTAACTCCAAACTGGATTTCTAAACCTCTCCATATCCTGTGGTCTTTCTTATGTTATGATTGTGGAAACTCATGTGGGTCAGTTTCAAGTGTTTAATGAAAGCTAAGCGTACTGTTGACCAAAAAAAAAGACATCTATATACTTCAAGTCAACGAGCTTGACTATGATATTAATTGTTGCGACAAGTAAGTGTTGAGTAAATTCCTAAACAGATTTTGAAGTTGACAAAATTATCCATGTTAATCTTGTAAATCTGATATGTACTTTGAAGTATTTTGATCCAAGTATATATACTCTGGAAGTAGCAACTTTAATACTTCAAGAGAATTTAACTTTCTGGACGCTCAGACTTTACGAGGTTCAGAAGGAAAACTTCAGACTCTACAAGGTTCAGAACGAGAAGTTCAGACTCTACTGAAATAGACACTCAGTCTTTTTCTTAATATGTCAGAGATCTTCAGACTCTTATTTTGAAGAACTTAGACTTTACTGAAGACCTACACTGACTCAGGTTCTGAATGTAAAGTAAGAACTTGAAATTCTTCAGATTCAGAATTTATTCAGAACGAAACATAACAGTTAGTGATTTGGCGTGGATTTCACAAAAGGAAAGTTTTGATTGATTCAATCTAAGCCTAATTGATTGACAATCAAACATTATGACAAGTATATATTACAACGGATAAAACTCTACTTATGGAAACCAAGATTCTGATTGTATGGGCGATCAGATTCAGTGGGATTCGGATTTTGTCAACCAACGGCTACTCAATCCATTTTATACAAATCTGTCCAAAGTAAAGATTGGGAGATGATCCTCTGAAGACTGTCCAACGGCTAGTTTGGAAGTGGAGGAATATAAAAGGGGACCAATGAGAAGCAGAAGGGATAGAACGAAATCGAGAATCAACAAGTCCAAAGTCTGAGCTTATTCCGATTCTATTACTTGTCTTTCCTGAGCTAAATACTGAGATTTTGAGGGATACTCTGTAAAAGTGATTGTGTGAGATAGAGAGTTCTATCATTCACCGAGTGATATCACTCGGATCCTATAATTCTTTTGATTACATAGTGGAATCCAGCCAGTAGGCTGTCAGCGTGGGAGAGTGGACGTAGGTTTGATCTAAGTCGAACCACCATAACTTCTTGTGTGCAGTTCTCTTTGTCCCTAATCTCTCATTATATTATTTACACTGCACACTAGCACATTCAGAATCTGAACATTATTCAGACTTTACTGTTTATAAATCGTTTTCGCTTTAAATTCATAAAATCACTTGTATCACCTATTCACCCCCTCTCTAGGTGATACCTGCTAACTATAACAGTAAGCGATAGAGCACGATAACAAACGGAACCAGAAAGTAAATCGGACAACTCATTTACATAGTTCGGTCAATGTGGCTTACTCCATGAGGAAAGCAGTACACGATTCTACTATTGGTTAATCGATATAACAGAGATTACAATTATACTCAAATAACTTACATAATCTCAATATTTCCCATCCCTTAGTTATACCCAATAATCTCACAGTATTAGTATATAGCTACACATAATTTCTTATGAAACAATCTCTCAATTCTACAAAAGTATACACAAATCCAAACCCCCAAAATTTCTTGGCTCGATCGTACACAAACTTCATTGGGATGTAATTCATGGAAATTCTGGACATTCTCCACTTCGCCCGAAACCACGAGCATTGCACATCAGAATCAGTCCACTTGCAGCACACCAAAAAATTCATCAGCCCAAGACACGGTTCTGGTACTCATCATGAAAATAGGAAAGTCTTGTGGCCGGCCAAAATCGACTCCTACTCCAATCAGGAAATATTTGCTTTTACATTCCAACACCGGACAAAAGACTCCAAGATCGGACACCTGAAATATTCACTTTCAAGCGATCAGAGCTTCCTCGCATTTCAATTTAGATTGTGTTTCGTTTGCGGGATTAAACTCGAGACATAATTCTATCGAGACATAATTCTAACAAGAACAATGCTTCATATTTTAAGGGTTGGTTATAGAGTCTCCGATGTCTCATAGCAAACAAATTTCATAAATCTAGAAGTTTAGTGTTTTCTTTAAGTTTAACGCTCAAGCAGATCTATTCATTGTTCAGGAGAGTGGCCGCTAGATCGCTATTGGTTGGTCGCATTGGAAAATTGCACTTTGACGGAATTCCTTTGGGAAAAGTGTCAAAAAAGTCATAAATTTATTGTATTTGTGCCAACTTAGTCCTAAACCATACAAACCAATATCATTTAATCATATTATCAATCATCTCTCAATTCTTCAATGGGGGGGCAAAGCCCTAGGCTCAACCGCTAAGCCACCGATAAAGGATTAAGTGACTTCTCAAAAAAAAAAATTCATTATCAATAGGCTTATCTATCATGTTCTAAAGCTTAAGCTTATATCCGGCAACCTCGGATAATCGAGCATAGAAATTTCATGAGACTCTAGCCGGTTCGAGCAAGTCCATGGCCGCCCCATGAGCATGTCTAGATCACAATGAGCGTCATAGTTTGGTTTTAGGTGCAACTGTCCATCTTTTCTTCCATCCTAGAAATTTTCTTACAACGAAGCCTCTCGAAAAGTATGGTTTTAGTTGTGTTTTTTTGTGGGGTTGAATTACCGGGAAAGTTCAAAACCTATCATACGGATGTCAATTCAGTTTTAAATTTTTTAGTTTGATCAATTAAGTCCTAAACTTTTTTACGATTTGCCGATGTAGTCCTTCCAATAAATTTAGGCTGGCAATCTCTGACGTGTATGTCGGTCATCTTACGTGCCATAGCCGGCGCTGACATGGACAATCTTTTTTCATTTTTTTAAAATTTTCTAAATTCTTTTATAATTTTTTTGATTTTTTTCTTTTCCTTTTTTTTTATCTACTAAGATCGGTGAGGGTCGCGGTGACCCTCATAGGCTACCGGCCAAGGGTCACGAAGCCCTTGCCTTAGTAGAAAAAAAAGAATAAGAAGAAAGAAAAAGAGAAAATAAATATTTATGAATTTTTTTTTAAATGGAAAAAAAATTTGTAAAAGTTGTCCGCGCTAGCACTGACTATGCTATGTAGGATGGCCGACGTCCGCGCCAACAATTTTCGGCCAAAATTGGCCCGAAAGACTATATTGTTAAATCGTCGAAGGTTTAGATCTCAATTGGTAAAATTGAAAGATTTATGACTGAATTGGCATCCGAACAATAGGTTTATGACATTTTTGGCAATTCTCCCTTATTTTGCACTTGTTATCATTCATAAACCTATTTCGAGTAAGACAAAAAACAATAAAATTTCGAAGTATTTAATTATTTGTATAAATTTATCGAAAAAAGGGGCGATGAAACATAGAATGAGGACTTTACCAAAAAAAAAACATAGAATGAGGCTATTTTTCTCATCTTATTGTGTTTGAGTCGGCTTTACTTTACAGTATTATATATCACCGGTATCGAATTTAAACCAAGTGCATCGCATGCATCTTCGGCTCTTCTTAAGTTGGGGACGACAGACCGAGGGTGAAAGAACTATATACTACGTCAACGGTAAAACGTGGATTCTTGGGTCCGCCTCCTTGTCGATGAAATCGAAGCGGGAAGAGACAAGTCACGCACCGGTCGAAAGGCGTAATCCAAATTCGGCATCCACAATCAAAGACAAGAAGCTGAAAGTTAGGGCGATAAAGCGACAATATACAGATGATCACAAGGCCACATTGTCTCATAGTGGGAAATACCAAGAAAAGAAGTGCAACAACAACACTATGATCACGATGCTTCGTAACAAGGCCATGATCTCTTATATATAAGTCACTCGCGACCTCTCTTGTTGAGCACAAGAGCGTGGAGCAATATAGTATCTTTACAAAGATCAAAGCCAACAAGATGTCTAAAGGGGAGGTGGTGCTTTTGGATTGCTGGGTGAGCCCGTTTTGCATGAGGGTGAAGACCGCGTTGAACGAGAAGGGCATTGAGTATGAGCACAGGGAGGAGGATTTGTTCGGAGGCAAGAGTGAGTTGTTGCTCAATTCGAATCCGGTCTACAAGAAAGTACCGGTGCTCTTGCATGACGGGAAGCCCTTGGCCGAGTCCACCATCATAGTCGGGTACATCGACGAGACATGGGCGAAGCCACCTTTGCTCCCGAGCTGTGCGTATGGGCGCGCCAAGGCCAGGTTTTGGGCGGATTTCATCGATAAAAAGGTTAGGTTTGATTCCCTCGTAGCCTCCTTTCTTTACGAGAGAGAGAGAGAGAGACCCAAACTTTAGATCACATCTAGTCGGGTGGGTTTGACTCATAATGAATTGCATTTGTGATTTCCATCTAAGAAGATGAGACGGGCTCAAGATGCAGCAAAGCTTCATGTAGTCCATGATGGTGTGGAATGGGTTTATCGTCCCAAATCCACCTCGCGGTGATTCACATAAAAATAACGACTGTCAAAATCAAGTGATCCGTATCACAAAATAATTGAAACTCAAGAAGGTAGAGAAAGCCAAGTTACCCTTCTTTCACATTCCTAAAGTCGCTCTACCATATCAAACTAATCGGCAGGATCCATGATAGACCTCCTAAATAAACACGCTTTTGAACATCTTTCATCTCTGTCCATTATATCATCTATATAGAGTCCATGTAATCTTCTTTTTTGGTAACCCGTTTTGCTTAACTTTCGCAACGTAAATAGTAATTATGATTGCTTTGGAGCAGCTGCACGATGGGGGGAACCAGATATGGAGGACCAGCGGAGAGGAGAGGGAGGTGGCAACGAGGGACTTCATAGAGATATTGAAGCAACTAGAGGAAGCCCTTGGGGATAAAACCTACTTCGGGGGAGAGGGAGATGCATTCGGGTTCGTGGACATCATCGCCGTTGGAGTAGCCTCGTGGTTCGATGCGTACGAGAAGTTCGGGGGCTTCAAGGTCGAGGATCACTGCCCCAAGTTGTCGGGATGGCTCAAGAGGTGCAAGCAGAGGGAGAGCGTGAGCAAGGTCCTTCCCGACCCTGAAAAGGTCTACGAGTTCCTGGTCATGTTCAGGAAGATGCAAGGTCTCGACTGAAAAATGTCCTTCTGGTCTGCGTATGTTCTGGTCCTCTGTCCGTGCAGCCGGTCAAGCGAGTGCATAAATCGGGACGACGATGCAAATAATCACCTCTTCTTCCTTTCGTTAGCTTCTATGTACTGCTTCAACGATCTTATGATGCAATAATGGTATGTGTAGAATACCTGTGTGCTATGTTTTTTTTTTTTTTTGGTCAAAGTGTGCTATGTATTGAAATTGAGAAGATTGTGCATCTTCTGGTCGGCAAAGGCAATCACTCGATAGCCCATATTGGAAAAGGTCATCCGGTCATCTAAATCTGGCTCTGCTTAAGACTTGCTTTCTTAGCAGGACGATAGATCGGGATCGACCTCGAGGCCCGAGCCGGTCCATGCCCGCACACGATTAGCTAGCCTATCGTACCCACATCAAAAGCGGGCTAACGCGCTAAGTTTCATGTGCCCCCAAGAAATGCTAGTAAGTGATTGAGAAAGAGAATACATCAATTCATCGAGTGCACTCGGTGGGACAAAAACCCCAGATTTAAGCGGCGGCATCCACTCTGAGTACAGCCCTTCGAGATATCACCTAGACTTTTAGAAAGCACCAATCCTCGAATCGGGACATATTTTAAGAGATGGAACAGGATCTTTATCCGACCAAAACACGTCACCCCGACGTTCGAGCAGCGTCATGCACTACGCAATTCCAGCTTTAGTAGCAAGGCGTGGCCAAATATAATAACATGTCCTTTTTCAAATGGGGTCACAAGAGTGGCAAGCACAACTTCGCTTTCACAATCATATGCTCCAAAGAACACCCGCGCAACGCACTCATTTCACTCAACCACGGTCGTATGGACCGCGGGCCTACCAAAACCCTCGGAGGTTTCTTGCCACTTTCGCCCATAAAAGGCGGTCGGGTGTACATTGGCATCACGATTTGCTAGCTAAGTGAAAATTTCCGAGCTTTGCAAATGGAATTCTCTTAAACAGGGTCACATGGGACAGCCTGGACTCAACTACTCTTAGGGTACGCATGGGAGTTATCGCCACCTTTCCATGTATGAATTGAGTGTAGTTAATGCTTCTTGGCCATAATGACATGATTACCCCACTCTTGTTATGAAAAGAACAATTGCTGTGTACTGGTACCGGACCGCATTGATAGTTTATCATTCGGAAAAATTACCAAAAAATTATAAATTTATTATAATTATGCTAATTTAGTTATAAACACTTTTTTTTTTCAATTGAATCATAAACATTTTACATTTGTATCAATTCAGTTATAGCGAGACTCGCCCCCGCCTTGCGATGGGCACAATTGTAATAGGTTTAGCATTAACACATAATGTTAATGCTTCTTGGCCATTATGCCGTGGTTACCCCACTCTTAATAGGAAAAGAGTAATTGTTTTGTGCTTGTGCCGGACCACATTGATAGTTTATCATTCCATATGTTTGGCTACTGACATGCACTTAGTTTGGGATGATAGGAAAGCATTTGAAAAATAAGACCTTTATTTTGATTGTTGATAAAAGGACGAGGGGAGACAAAAAAAAAGAGGATTAGAAGAGACTACGAGCAAGTTTTGGGTAGCTTTTAAATTCCTACAAGTCCGATCAGAAACAGAGGGATTAGGAGGGATTAGTGTATTAGGGTGCGTCTATTTCACGGAAAATAAATGATTTGGAAAATAATTTTTTAGAAGTGATTCTTGTATCTCTTCCAAATATAAATGAACGAAAAATATTTTCGTCGTCCACTAAAATACTGAGACATAAATTATTGGTAGTTTTAAAACATTTTTCATTAACCTAATAATTTCTATCAATATTCCAATTATTCATTTTATGCGAAACAAACGAAGCCTAATGAACTCTCCCGTTTATTCCCTAATTTTTTAACTTGTAATGTTAAGCACATAAAAGGATATTTGGGTTGTAATGCATTCTTTTTGGATCCATTCTCTCATGAACAGCAGCTAATCAGCATTACTACTCATTCCCTTCAACTTTTTCGTTTTCTTTTTTGCCTGTAATTATACGAACATTATATTTTTCTTGTTAATCTGTCCCACCAAACATAGTGTTGATTGAAACATCTTTTCGAATGGTTGGCACAATAAATCCAGATCCATTGAAATTTATGATTTAATTCAAATGTGTCTTTTGGACTATATGAACATGTATAAAATTATAAATGTATTTAATTGCAAACAAGTTATCATTGCCCCCCGATAATATAATAACATGTTTGATTAAATGTATGTAAGCATGTTAAACAACGAGTTGATTAGGAGGGTCAATAGGTACACCTATATATAGACAAGTTTGTCCAATTATAACACATGCGATTAAACTTAATCCAAGCAAGCTTAACTACATCTCTACTCTAGTAAGGAATCACACAAGGAAAGCACTCGTCTCGAAAATCACTATTTCAAAAAGTGGCCGAACACAAATGATCTCTCGAGCATCACTTTTTTTTTTTTTTTACGACGAGAGGAGTCGCCTCGAATAGTCAGGTAAATTCCAGATTTGTGAAATACCCCACGAATCTTAAAGATCCGAAAGGACGCTAGTCAAAACCTAAACCAACTATGGAAACACGTAATTATTTCTCGAGTCTCCACTTTAAGAGCAAGAAAAGAAAAAAAGAAGAAGAAAAGGGAGAGAACATACCAGCATAAATTAAGATCAAAGATGAAAAGTCCAAGCCCTTTTGGGAAGAGAGAGAGAGAGTTAGGAGGGGGACAATGCATGGTTCTTGCACTCATGCCCCCCCTTCTCTCTCTCTCTCTCTCTCTCTCTCTCCTCGCCGGAAAATCCTCCAAGAAGCAGCACTAAAACCTTCGACATGAAACCCACCACAACCTCCCAAAAACCAACCCATGATTAATCACCCCCGCCGCCGCCGCCGCCACGGCCACGGCCACGGCCGCCTCATCTTCCTCGCCGTCATCTTGCTCTCCCTCGGGCCATCCGAGCCCGACATCCGGACCGGCTACCGCGTCACCGTCGCGATCCCTCCGGCATACAGCCCCGGCTACGTCGGCCGGGCCTACCTGATGGGGGCCGACGGCGGCGGGCCTCCTGCATTCAGGGTCGCGCTGAGCGTGGAGGCGGGCGGCGGCGGCGGCGGGGGAAGCTACACGTGCGCGCTGGAGGTCTTCCTCGGGGACGTCAGGGTGTGGAGCTCGGGTCACTCCTCGCGCTTCTACGTGGAGGGACGGTGCGCGCTCGAGCTCGCCGCGGACGGCGACCTGCGGCTGAAGGGTCCCGACGAGCGGATCGGGTGGCGGACGGGGACCTCCGGCCAGGCGGTCGAGGTAATCAGAAGTGATGCGATTTTCACCATAGCATTAATTTCTCAATTAATGTAGTCAATCCTTCCGAACACAGTCATTACTAAAGAGTCTTTATGAGCTCACATTCCAAGAAATATAAAATTTCAGATCAGAAAAATGCTAAGTATATTGAGAGATTTTACTAAATTTTGTTGACAACCATCGGTTCGCTTCAAATCATACGATAAATATATATATGTCTATGACACCCCGTGGCACCATGTCTTTCGTGTGTCACGGTCGGATGCCATAGATCTGATCATGCTCATCGTAATTTAGCGCGAAACGTGGTAATTTCGAGGCGGATTCACATTGCCATCTGAAATGCGATGCAGAGATTGCAGATACAGGGCACGGGCAATCTGGTTCTGGTGGACGCGTCGGACCGCATCAAGTGGCAGAGCTTCAATTTCCCGACCGACGTGATGCTCTGGGGCCAGCGGCTCAGCGGCGCGACCCGGCTGACGTCGTACCCGGCGAACTCCACGTCGTTCTACTCCTTCGAGATCGAACAGGCCAAGGTCGCCCTGTACTTGAACCATGGCGGGTCCAAGTACTCTTACTGGGAGTTCGCCCCTTCCCTGAGCCGAAACATCACCTTCGTCAAGTTGGGCACCAGGGGCCTGGAGCTGTTCAATTACAAGTACAAAAAGATCGCGCGCATCACGGCCCCGCGATCCGAGCCGCCCCGGTTCCTGGCGCTCGATAACCAGACTGGCAACATGGGGCTCTACTATTACTCCCCCGGCGAGGGGAAGTTCGCGGCGTCCTTCCTGGCGCTCAACGCGACGTGTGACCTCCCGATGTCATGCCCGCCCTACGGCATTTGCACCCTCTCGAGCGCCTGCTCGTGCATCCGCCTGACCAGGAAGCGGGACGAGACCGGCCTGGACTGCGGCGATGGAATCTCGGGCGGGTTCTGCGGGGCGGGCCGTCCGGCGATGGAGATGATCGAGTTGGACGGGGTGGACAGCGTGATCAGGGACGGCCCGAAACGGGTCAACGTTAGCAAAGAGGAATGCACGAGCCTGTGCACGGAGGACTGCGACTGCGCGGCCGCGCTGTACTCGTCGTACCTACGGGAATGCTATGTGTACGGGATCGTGATCGGGATCAAGCAGGTGAACCAGGGGAGCGGGCTGAGTTACCTGGTGAAGGTACCGAAAGGGAGTCGCGGGCGGCGCGGCCGGTCGGGTTTGAAGAGATGGGTTTTGGTTTTGGTGGGCGTGGTGGATGGATTGATCCTGGCGGCGGTCATCGGCGGGCTCGTGTATTATTTGATTCGGAAGAGAAGGAAGAGGTCGTCGGGAGGAGCTAGGAATGACTCTTGATTGACTTGCCTTGTGATTTTTCGTGCTTTTTTTATTGAAAAATCAGAAGGCAAATAGAAAATGTTTGTTCATTGATAGAGGGCAAAAAAAAATTTTTCCTTTTTTTTGTGGGTGGTTCTTGGGTGTTCATTTTGTGTTAACAAAATTCTTTAGATGGGCAAGATGTCCTTGATGGTGTGAAGCTCAATAGACAGAGGAAATGTGATTTCTTGGTGCAAAATTTCGAAGGCATTTGTTGTTTGTTTTTTTGTTCGGATCGAAGGCATTTGTTGATGATGTTGCTCTCGTGGGGGGTTTTTCTTTGAACTGTTGAAGTTAAGTTGCACCTATTCGTGGAGAAACCAAGAAGGGTGTGTCCTCGTTACGGTGTTCCCGATTGAACCAGCTGGTCCAATACGATCTTTCTCACTTCATCACACAGCCCTTTAATTGATCAATGCTTTCTGTTGTCTTTTGAGCAGAAAGTAGAATTTGCGAACCATCTTGAACAAATTGAAAATTCATGAATGACATTGCACATTGGATCACAGTTCGGGATCACATTGCGTAAATTAAAAGCTCGGGGACGACATTGCACATTGAACCAAAGTTCATAGATTATTTGTGTCATTTTCTCTTCTTCTTTTTTTTTTTCTGTGGTCGGTAAGAAGTCTATTTCATTTCTTTTAGGAAAACATAAGAATACATCAAAAAAGTTTCAAGACACAAGAAGACCCAGAAGGCTTGTGGGGATAGACGACCCAATTTTGGGGTTGGGCTTTTTGTCTATGGGCCTTAGCAAACCAATTAGCCATTCTGCTGGTCCTATCTGGCCCATTGGAGTTTCCCCAGTTTTCTCACGGCACGGCAAATAGCTTCGCCCCCAAGAAAAACCATCACATGGAAGGCCATGATGACTTGAACACAAAAAGGGCAATAGGTAAATTCATAGCAATGGGGTGGTTCATTCAATTCAAATGGTATGCCTCTTTAATTAGAACAATCCGCAAATGATTGCCATTCCTTCATAATAAAAAATGCACGCAGAAAACTTAAAACATGCGTGCGCTAGAAGTCTATCCCAATTATTAATTTAAGTAGACATAAACATGTCAACGAAAATACATGACCACCGTTAAGAAAAGATATTCCGATATATGGATAGAAATTTTATTTAGGTTTATCAATATTATAAAGGTAAAAGAAGCATTTTAAATTCCTGTTCATTGCAAAGCTTAAAAGATCATGTAGATCAACCTGCTGGGTCAAACAACACTAAAATTTCATATAGGGAAAAAGCAAAAACAAAAGCGCTATGTGATGCCAAACCATAAAAAATGTGTTCCAAACTCAAATAGCCTCCGACAAGCTAAAATGTAAATCTAATTTCACAGTGTCCCTTGTCCAAAATAATGCAAGGAAACGTCGTTCTCGTTCGAACATCACCTACCAATCTCGAATTGAGTCAATTCATCCCTAGCGAGGTCTAGTCCCTCTTGCAACATCACATTAAGAAAGAAAGGTGTCATTTTTCAATGGACATGCGCATGTGTAATGATGAACATAACCTCAGATGCCGAAATGATACTGCCTTGAATTCTACGAGGCCTATCCGTTCACTGTCACATGCATACAATCGAAGGACCCTCTTATTCCAATCATGTGGGGGGGAGAAATCGAACTTGCGAGGAACTCAAGGCAATGGACTATATCTCTCTAGCGGGTCCCAAAACCAGATTTCGTTAAATAGTGTCATCCCTTGGATATCTTTATTGTTGTATCCATCGTTGGACTTTTACTGCTATCCAACGTGTTGGGAGCGCGCAATAAAAACTCGATACTTTTCGATTAGGGAAATCGCCAAGAGGGAGAGCCCAAGTCCAAGCCTGTTCACATATCTACATTTACTCAAAAAGCTTAAGTTAATGAGTTATAAGCCAATTAGGATTTATTAATTACTCATTCTCCGATGTAGAATTGCATTCTAACAATCTCCCCCTCACGTGTGATTTCAGTGTTAGGTTTGTTCCGCATCAAGATATCTCACCTTGAATAGATAGGGGGCTCATCAATTTACCATTGGCTTTGATATAATTTGTTGGGAGCCCGCAGTAGAAGCCTGATATCTTTCGGTTGGGGAGATCATCAAGAGAGAGCTCAAGTCTATATCTGTTAACATATCAAGTTAGACTCTCATTCACTTAAAAGCTTAAATTAATAAATTATTGATTAATTATGATATATTAACGGCTCTATATCATATCAATTCTTGGATGTAATTGTGAGATTTTTTTTAATACAGTTCACACCTATATCCTAGCACAACACTTGAGGAAACGGGACAAGGACACCGGGACTGTGCGTTCTACTCGGTGAGGTCTCCTTTTTTCGTGACTATCTTGTTTTTTTTTTTTTGCTAACATGATGTCCACGAACTTCGGATGACACGTTGCTGGTCTCGCTGTTGGAACTTGGCCCGTGATCCATGACGTCGCACGAGACAACTTTGTGTGGCGAGGGTCTCTCTTGGTTATCAACGTCAGTTCTCATCAGTTCTTAGGGATATGAGCTTGCAAAATATGACCCCACCGTGACAGCAAAACTCCTAACCATTTTCTGGTCCCTTCAATGTGCCGAAAGGAACAAGATTACAACCCTAGCATGAAAGTTTGGTCTTCTAGTACACGTAGCTTTTGGGTTTGGCGATTGGTAGGTAACGAGACACATCGCTCAAATCCACCGGTTCACTGTCCGAAACGTTCTGGCTTAATGATTCCAAGAGTTTGAGTACTTTGGTTAGGCTTGTTTTGATGTAAATAGGGTAAAACTGCAGTTCTCATTTCATGATTTTGTTATTTGTGCAATTTAGTTCTCTAAAATTTTTCTATTGCTCAATTGAGTCCTTTATGTTTCTCGATTTCTTATATCAAGTTCGCCTTCCCCTCATCTACAATTTCGAGCACCATTAAATTAACAACATGGCCACCATGTCAGCAAAAATCAGAGTGAGAGAAGTATTTTGGGATTGGGGGGAGGGGGGCGGCGGCGGCGGCGGCGGCGGTTTTCCGCTCCCGAGTCCATTGATGAGGATCAAGAGATCCTTGCATAGCAAATCGTGTGGGTTCCAACATCCCTACCACAACAAACAGCGAGTGATGCGACCCTTGCCGAGGTGTCGCTTCAAGGTCGCTTGACCCTTGCTAGAGATAGTGCTTCGGCATGGGACGTACCATGCTTGCACTGTTGGGCTTAGACCAACGACAGCATACGGAATACTCCAATTAAAGCAGCGTTTCTCATGTTGGACACACGTCGATCGTCTTATAAACGAAACCTTACACGATAGATGTGAACGAGAATCGGGCGATTTGAAAGCTTGGAGTACTCCAGTTACAATACATAGAGAAAAAGATGCTTGCATTATGTGTATTCATGCCGCCCCTCGAAATACATGTGAACTGTTAGGCACTTGACTTATTGAAAACGACGCTTTGGTCTCGATTACCATTCGGCCCCGGACACTGCAATCTTGCGAAATTCCAAGATTAGCGCATCACACGTGCACCAGTCTACTATACTAAATTATTTAATGATGGATGGATTGGCGCGTCCAGAAGAAGAAAGAATAGCAGACGCGGATTAGGTTGTCACGAGATCAAGTTCCAGACATTGCACTCGCATGCTTCAAGTATCAAAATCGTCGGGATTCTACTATGAATTACATTCTTGTTTTCTCGTGTTATATTGTTATCGGCGATTTGTCCATCTTTGGGACACGACAGAAAAGGAGGAAGTAAATGTCAACAAGTGATGCAGCGCATGCATTTGATTAGGCATTGTTATGATTAATCAACTAGTTGATTTGCCCATGTGAAGACAAGTAGGGATTTTGGCACTAGATGTTCATTGGCATTGGCGAGAGAAAAGTTGCCGAATAAGTTGGGTGAGAATCCGTTGGCTCCGATACCAAGTACGAAGATCCAATGGGAAACCCTAAGTTAGGGAAATTATTAAAAAAAAGTCATAAACCTATTATACTTATGCTAATTTAGTCTTAAACCTTTCAATTGTTCCAATTTAGTCTGAAACATTTTCACGTTTTGCCAATTGAGTCATCCGGCTAATTTTGGACCATAATCGCTGACGTGGATGTCGGCCCTTCTATGTGGCACAATCGATGCTAATGTTGACATTTTTTGATAATATTTTAATAATTTTTAGAAATTTTTATAACTTTTTTGGTTTGTTCTTTTCTTTTTTTTTGGATCGAGGGCCGATAAGGGTCGCCAGTCGACCCTCTCGTTGGCACTAGACGAGGGTGTGGTGATCTGGCGAGGGCCATGACGCCCTCATTGTGGCCGGTAAGGGCTTGGGCAAGAGTCGTGTTGCCTTCTCGGCCAAAGTTAGGGCGTGCGGCCTCGTGCCCAAATCTGGTGAGGGCCGTTACAACTTTGCCAGATCTAGGCTTGGCGAGGGCGTCGTAGCCCTTGCCGACCTTGAGAGGGAGCGTCCGGACCCTCGCTTGTGGCCGCCAAGGGTTGGTTGACGACCCTTGCCGGCCCTCAGTTCGAAAAAAGTAAAGAAAAGAAAAAAGAAAAAAAGAAAAAAATTATTAAAAAAATCCATAAAATTATTAAAATACTATTAAAAAATGTCAATATCAACACTGGTCGTGCCACGTAAAATGCCTAGTGTCTACGTCAGTGAATTCTGAGCAAAATTGATCATATGGACTCAATTAGCAAATCATGAGAATTTTTAAGATTAGATTAGCACAATTGAAAGGTTTAACATTGAATTGGTACAATTGAAATAGGTTTAGGTTTTTTTGGTAATTGCCCCTAAGTTATTGCATCCTCTCTCTAGTCGTCCTCTAGATAATTGCCCCTCAGCCTCCTCAACACCGTCGCCATCTTACTTATCCATCTCTATCCATGTGATGTGTAGGGGATGTTGGCCATCAATCTTTAAAATTCCTCATGGTTAGCACGATCTCATGAGCATCCAAACATCAATATTGGTTCCTTCCAGTAGTGTTGCATCGCGTTCTTCGGATGTGATGTTCCAAGATGGAAGTGTTGCTGGACGTGGATGGCGAAGGTGGCAAAATACAAGTGGGAATCTGAAATGGCCGAAGACATTCTTTTCCCGAGAGAACGCGTATTGTGGGGGGAGGAATCGGTCGTGAGATAGGACACGGGAGAGAGCTGTTTCTAAGGAAGCGTCAAATGTTGTTTAGCT